TAAGCCAACCTCCTGACTGCTTTGCCTAATTGAGAGTTAATATTGTCATGAAGTTGGCAGGTTAAAAAAACCAGAAGACAAACTGCCAGTCCAACCCCTCCAATACCGAGGCCACAACGCAGAACAAGGTTTCCAGAAGTTTCAGAAGATGTAGGATAAATAAATTCAGTCTAAGTACAGGCCTCAGATGTAGCAAATGATGCAAATAAATATATTTACACACTGTAGATTTAGCGTACATTGTATGTACAGGCAATTCCGAAGTGACATACATTCATGATGACACGCCATCTCAATATTTCATTAAAAAAAAAATAAGTCTATGCTTCCTAAGGAACTCTGCCTGTAAAATATTTGCAGATCAGCACACTAACAGATATGGATGTCCACCTTCTTTCTTTGCTGGAAGAGGACTTCTACGTGACATCTAAAGTGGGACAACTCCAAGTTTTCCTTACAGGGCATACAAGTCACATTCTTGCAGAATAATTGTGAAAAAGCATTATCATCAATATGATCTACCAAAGGGTATCAGCAAGACGGATGTTCAAAATGTTTTTCAAGCTTGTTCCCCATGAAAATCACAATAATGTAAAAAAATAGAAAAAACTTTAAAAATGGCATTGCATCTCAGTAAGCTTTGAGCTGCTAAAACTGCAGCCATGGACAAAACTTCACAAGAACACTTGGATATGAGAGCTAAGAAATTTGATAGGATGACCAACATACAGTATCCAGGTGAACACTCAATATTTAAAATTAGTTTCCAGAGTTCTACAGATCTCCAAATACAGAAAGTTAATTATGTCCTAATAAATCAATGTTTCCACTACAGAACTCCAAAAGCTTCTTCCAACAGCCTTACAATAGAATAATGTAAATACTATGCTAAGGGGATGAGTTTAAGCATTCTAATACCAACTGCTTTCTCTAGCACATTAAGGATTTATAAGCCATCAGAATTACTAAGGGATGCCGAGTACAGAAATTAATGTAACTTTTCACGTACAGTCCATCCAAGTTGTGAGCCACACCACAGACAAAAAGACACATAAGCTGTCTTAGCAGGTAGCCAACTTGGGTTGGCAGGTAGCCAGAAGAGCATTAGCAGTGACTGCACTGCAGAATGCGTATATGCTGCGTTCAGAGCATCTGTAGTTCTGGAAGAGCTTTTTAGTTTTGATGCAGCACTCCACAAACACATGGAACAGGTTTAGATCTGGCAGGGCCCCACAGTAAACAAGCCAGGCTGTATCAAGCAGGCCTCACGCTGAGCAAGGCCGTGAGCTCTACACAGTCTGAGCTGCCTTCAGAAGCAGCCTGGGCACCTCCGCACTGAGCTCCCAGATCATCATTCTACCGCACAGCGTCCCAAGACCGCTTCACTTGCTGCTGAAAGGCAGGCACTTCAGGAATAAAGGGGCAGCAGAAGTAGTGGGGTTTTTTTAAGCCATAGCAAAACAGCAGCGAGACAGACTGCCTATCCCTGCCTATCCGTCCAGTATAAACCTCTAACCAAAATTTGTCTGACTAAACTAGCAGTACTCTTTAACGCACAGAATTTTAAAAAGATAACATCTTTAAAAGATAACAGCTGTTTAAAAATTAGTAAGCAAAAGGGATACTTACCTGAAGCCTGTACAATAAAGTTATACTAAATATATACATACACAGGTTAAGATCCACTGAAAGTCTAATACTATAACCAAAAAAAAGGCTGATTCACAGGTGGAAATAGCTTGAGCTACTGCAGCGACACTCGACCCCAACTTACAGTTTCCACCTTCTAAAATTATGCGACAGAGGGACAGGAAGGCACCCCCAGAGCCACAGCAGGGACCGGCTACCCTGCTTGTGGCTCGAAGCCCTCGTTTATCACGGAAAAGGAAAAGAACGGTGAAGGCACAACCCTAGATACGTGCCCGGCCCCTGCCTTTCCCCCTCTGCGTCCAGAACCGGCCACACCC